AGTCTCTGAAAATGTTGAAGAACCCTGGAGTAGAGAAATGACTACAGTACCAAGCAGCACTTGCTAGCTTAACATTGCAAGTCTGGATGGCGTTTACCTTTCTTGCATGTTTTGTGCCTTCCCCAAGCCATTAAGAAAGAGATCTGGCTTCTGCTTGCGTGTAACCAGTAATGACAACCTCTTTGCAGTTATCTGTGTGCAAACAACCGGAGACATTCAGAACTCTGATACAGTAATCCAGTACCAAGTAAGTTAATCACAAAATAAAACAATTTATAAACAAGTAGATCATTAAAAACTAAAGGAAAAGGTTAAACAAAGAAAAACAATCCCACATGCAGACCAGTTTATCAGTGCTTTCATTTCAGCAGGATGTTACAATGCGAGAACACACATCCAGAGCCCTCTGTGGTCTCCGCGATCGGCAACACGGCTTGTCAGGTGATGGGGACAGGATGGTCCATGCAAATGAGCAGACCCAAGTCACACTGTGTGCAACCAAGACACAATTCCAGACATCTTCAGAATGGATTAGAGTCACAAGAAATGGAGGTTCAATGGAGTGACGGATAATTAGTTGGAAGCACATTATTTTAAGTAAATCTCCCTGAAAAACTGCTTATTTATTGTATATACTGTCCAATGGCATCCACTAACTGCCCTTTTATTGCCACAGGGAAGTAGGACAATATAGGAGATCAAAGAAGGAGCGCTACCTTAGATAATCTTCAAAAGCCAAGATAAAATTCTTCAGCTATCCAGGTGGCACTTCTATAACTACTGACAGTTATATCATGCAGGAGTTATATCATATTTCTGGAGCCTATGGATTAAGCTACATTTATGTCCAATATTTGGTAAACAGTATTTGAATTAATATTATGTAGCCGGTTGATGCCATCTGGTTTACAAGATAGAAGGGATGGGAGACCGAGAACGCCTTAGAGGACAAGGTGAGCTGTAGGGTGATGTTACTGGAGACAGTCGCAGAGCATTGCCTGTCAAGCCAGCTATGTTGTTTAAGCTTCGAGATTTTTCGTAGCCTTGTATGAGAAAATGCACAGACATCAGTTGAATTCAGCCAAAAAAATAGACAAAGACAAACAATACAATGTCATGTAATCCAAGGAGCTATCTGGGACTCGGGGAATTTGCCTGCGAAAGAACTCAATACTTAGACGCAGTACTGTCAAAAGATGTTAATGAATAAAACAATTTATGAAAAACTGCAGCTATTCTTTCCCAGGAAATTAAACACAGAACCACGTCAGAGGTCTGGCCTGTTCTTCCACTCTGTGCCACTCTATTGGCTTCAACAGAGCTGTGCAGAGTGTAAAATTAAAAATCACAACAGAGTTTTCGGGTGAATTATGTGACTAAGCATAATCCCATTAAAATAGACCATAAATGCTGTTAGAATGATATACCCTCTGTTAAAATCAATTCCTAATAAAAAAATATTTTTCTTTAAAAAATGAAATTAAAAAAAAAATACAAAATTGCATCAATGTTTGTAAGTAATTTCTGCAGAGTATTGAATGATGCTATGGAAAGAAGCTTCATCTGCACAAATGTTATACTTACAACTTTGTGTCCACTATTAAATTATAATATGATAGCAGAGTTTGACATATTTTCAAATTCTTCCTGACTGGTCAATTTAAATCACTAAATTTATATTACTTGTCCAGCTGACTGAGATGAAATAAATGATATTAATCTGCATAAGCAAACAGTAAAGAATTAGTAATTAAATGAGGAAATCACATAATGCGTCACAATTTGGAGAGAACACTACACTTGCAGACATTTCTGTTCACACCATGAGCTCCACCTACTTTTAGCTGCACACCCATTGTTTTCACCTTTGGGAGGCTACGTTTGAAAAGCAGTGCTATGCTCTCTCTCTTCCTCACAGTCTTCACAATTAAGTAATTGCAAGAGCGTAATTCTGCTTATGAAGGATAGGATCGGCAGATTGGTCTAGAGAGAGATGTCAGCTAGGAGAATGACATGAAGATCAAAATGGAAGGGATGCTGCTCCTAAAGGGCACAGATACATGCTTCACTGCAAGCAGAAGTCCATTGATTTCAGTTGGTGCTATCTAACTTCCTCAAAAAGTATAATGCCATGTGCCATGTGAAGACGCTTAAGTAAACTGCCTGCTGTGAAACACGGAGACTTTTTCTCAGAGAATGTATAGAGTGCCAGTGACAATACATCTATCTAAACATCATGGCAGGTCAACGGCGTTTTCTAATTGAAACAGGTTCTGGTTCCAGATGACAGACCACAAGCAATAATGTTCTTCAGGAAAAAAATCACACTTAAGGTTCTCCCCAGAACAAGATATTTTTTGGGAGCAACTGTGATTCTGTTTGTGTTTGTACAGGCCCTGAGCAATTGAGAGACGAAAGCATACATAATAATAACAACTATCATATTTCTTAGCTATTGAAAATTGCATGCTGTAAACCTGTACTTAAAACACATGTACTGCCTTCGTGTCTGCTTAGCCATTGTGCAGTGTTATCTCCAGATTGCAAGGGCAGGCTGAACTGCGATGCTTCACAGACTGCTGATACATTTAAAATCCAGTTTCCTGCTTTGATTTTCTGTCAGTATTTACCCAGATTTGAGAGAATTGTGTTTGAAAGGGGAACAGAAGGGATGCACACTGCTTATGTATATATTTAACCTCCTGTGTAAACTTAATGCGTTACAAAAAAAAAAAATTAAAAAAAAATCAAAAGAGTTAGTTAACTTTTTCACACAGAAATTGGGAAACCTTTTTATCACTATTTTCATATTTTTTCTGCTATTTTTCTAATGATAAAAGCAAAGAACTGACAGAGGAAGATAGTAAAGATGACAAAACAAACAAACAAACAAGGACTTCTAAAAAATGAAAACCAGAAATACAAGATGAATAGAGATAGAGGCATAAACCAAAAATCAGTGATGTCCAGATAGTTTGGTGGGGTTTGGATTAGCACTGAATCAGTATAATCTGAGAAATGGAGATAAGGTGCCAAGGCAGAAAAGCTCAGAACAAATGATCACTGAACAAAACCAAGAACCAATCAAGGAAGCAACCAAACAGAAAGGATATACCAAAAGAAAGGAAGGGAAAAAAATTAAATGAAACACTAATAGACTTGATGTGTAAGTTAAATTCAAGAATTTAAGAATTCAAATATGCTACTTGAAAATATTTTCTGCTCATCAGCTAGCTTTCCTACTCTGTCTACAATAAATTTCAAAGCCAGTGGCTAAAACATTTCAACCTCGTTTAAGGTTATCATTAGAGTCAGTCAAAAAGCACATTTCTCACTGAGAAAATGTCAGTTCTGAACTCAAGCCCTGCTTTTCCAGTGCAAACTATAAAACAATGACTTTTCTCTTCAATCTAGATTTTGAAATGAAAATGTTCATGTATTCCTCATACAAAATACGCTGTTTCGTTGTCACATATGTCATTACTAGTTAATTGGTAACTTCTCCCATTATTTTTTTATCTGCTCTAATTAACAGTTACCAGCAAGTGAACAACACTCAAATGTTTATTCTGGCATTTCTAAAAGAAGTCAAGAATCTTGTCTTGCAGGATGCCATGGCAAATCTAATCTGCGTTATTCAGGTGCTTCTGACCTCCTCAAGAGACTGGAGCCTTACTCTAAAAGACACTGCAAATAATCCCAGTTGCCAAGCGACAGAGCAAGACATACACGCTGTAGACAAGAGTCCTAAATCCATGTGCAAAAAAACCCAAAAAATCTCCATTTAATCTAAACATTGTATACAGGAATATGTAAAATGTAGGTGCACAGAGATAACCTTTACAAACACCATACACATCAATTTCTGGTTACACATCTGCCTTCACAAGCTAAACCTACTGAGCTTTTGAAACATAAAGAGCATTTGCAGAATAACCAAGAGAATTGCTTTAGGATCTGCTGCTGGCTTGGACAGCTACATTTACAGTCGACACAGCTAGTAAAAAAAACAAAAACAAACAAACAAAATAAAAAACCAAGCAAACGAACAAACAAAAAAACCTGTCCAAAAAAAACAACAGAACAGAAAAATTGTAACCTTTGAAGACTGCTGCAGCTTAACAGGGAAAAAAAAGTAATTCTCTTTTAAGGAAAAGCAAGACTACCACTGGCATTGCTGATTTTGGGTTTATGCCCTAGGTTATGCCCAACTGTGGCCTGATTGGGTGGCCATATCATGGCTGATTCATAATGCCAAAAGGTTTTTACGGCTGCACCAAACCTGTGGAACAGGGAGCAATTAGGCTTGAAGAGGCTGAAGTACTTGTAAGACAGCAGCACCTTGCAAGATCAAGAACAGTTTACTGTATTTGAATTCTGGTTGGGGGAGGCAGTCACCATTTAGCATTAGGTAGCATATTACAAAGAGGGAATGTTTTGTGGCACTATAAATCCAAATTTTTCTTTGAAATAAACCTAAATAGCATCTCATCGATACGCTTTGTTGTGTTCAGAAATAAAAATGTTTTTGACTTCTGGTATTTCGATTTTTTAAATATAATTTATTCAGCTGTAATTTTTACTAAGTTATTAAGTGCGGATCAAAGTTACTAAATAATTAATTTGTCTTTCAAAGTGATAAATGGTATCAAGTGACGAGTAGTGGAATGAGTAAAGTCTGAATTGCAGGCTTGTCCATAAAAAGTAACAGACAAATGAAGGCACAAGTGATATGAAGGTCCAACATCAAGCACTTCTCGTGAAGACGAAAGGAAATGAGTTTTTAAAAGAAAAGCAGGAAAAGAATGACTAGGAATAAAGAAAAAAAGATACACTGTGGTACAGTCTTTCCTCTAAGAGCATTGTGCACATCATTTTACTCTAAGTTTGCTTTTCACACGCACACTGCTGAGTGATCTTTATGATCTAATGAAAGAAGTCCATACCTTTCCTGATCCCTCCATCAGTAGCACACGTGTAATCCCCTGTTGTCAGTAGGAAACATGTTCCCCCTCTTCTGTTTTTGTCTCTGGTACTAGAGCGTCTGATGGGAGGGAGCCTTTCACCAGGTGAGAGTGGCTGCTCACTTCCTGCACTGTCTTCACCTGATAACACTGGTTAAAGCACCATGCCCATTTACAGACAAGAATGAATGAGGAAATGAGACATCACAAAGAGCTTATGTAGAACGCCAGATATTCCCATCACTCAAAAAGTAGTTACAAGGTAAATCATTAGAAAACAACATTGCAGATCATCAGTAATCAGCATAAAATGGCAAAAAGTTGTTGGTTTTTTTTTTTAATTCAAGAGTAAATTATCTTTTGATTTTCCTGTTTTTCTTTTAAGTCTCACATAAGCTTCCACTAGACTATGTAATAAGAAAGAAGCAAAACAAGGCTCAGTTAGTTGCCTGTTAAAGACTGTAAGTAGTCAGTTTCAGAGATTTAAAGATGCATTTACTATTTTTTATATCCTTTTTATTAAGTAAGAGGTCATGCTAGTCATTTTTACTTGGAATATGTTACTTAGCACTTTGTAAAGATAACCCCTCCCCCAGAAGGGTTCAATTATCAATATTTGACACTAAAGCCTGTTTCACTATGCACACTTAGTTTTCATTTCTGTACTTGCTGCAATGTTTGCACAGCTTGTCACTTTAAGTACCCAACATTAAATGTTGTCTGTGTGGTTTATTTTGTCAAACACTGAAACTCTTACCTCTCTTGATTTGGGTCTCCCAAAGGACTATTAAAAAAAAAAAAAAATCTACCGATTCAGATTCAGGCCACACTTCAAGAAATAAATCTCTGCTAGTACAGCACATAACAGGTAATGGCATGATTTTGGCTTCTGCTTTACCTTTGCATTTAAATCTGAGCATGTGCTTTTGTGAACTTTTAGTGCCACTGGCTATATTCAGCCTAAAATTTTTGCACAAGATTCCTAATTACTTTAACAGCATTTTCTACCAGAAATAAAGTCAGAACATATAGTGTGTGTGCTGGCACTGCCAAAAAGATAACATTTTAAAATTACTTCTTTTTTGCATATCTGTTTTTCACCTAACTTCAGTGATTACACCACCTTGTCAATAAAGTTGCAGATACAGAAAAGTGTCTCTTTGCTCTGATCACATTGAGCCTCCTCCATTCTGGAATACCTTTGGTAGGACCTGATGGCATGAAAAAGCTGTTATCATTTTTACTTTAAAGATATCGTCTGAAAGTCAGTCAAAGCACTGTAAAACTAACTATATTTCACCCTCAAAGTAAGTCCTCTCAAAGGTTCCATCCTCCTAAATACATTTAGGATGTTCAAAAAGCTGTGTTAACTTTGTGAACACTCGCTCAGAGACTGAAACTGAGTTTCTTTGAAGATAAATGCTATTCAGCAACAAAGCAACAGAACCAAGAAAGATGTTCAGAAACTGGTTTTCCAGACTCTTCTTTAGAAAAAATAAACTTCGGTTACTGAATGACACTACTCATGTACTGCTTTGTTTTGTTATTCTCATATTAGCAATCATCAGCTTTCCAACAGGCACCTAATGACTGGCGTGTAAGCTTTGTAATCAGATTGCATTTTGCTTAAGAAAGAATGCATTCAAGAAACAAATTAAAAAAAAAAAAAAAAAAAAAATCCCTGCAATTAAAAATAATGTTTTAATCATATTGAGAAAAATTCCTCTTTAATTGGAAGAAATATGGAATATGAGGCATGGGCTCAGAGGGGCAGAGGCTGTCATTTGATATATGTTTTCACAGCAATTAGCACAAAGTATCCTCTTCCATGAAGCTCTGAGAAGAAGGTATTAAAAATTATGAAAACCAACACTTATAGCATGGATGTTGTCAGGGGCTGCCATTTTCATTTTTCTTGAAAAAATCAACATCAGTTTTACTGTTATCATCCAATTGATAGTAAATGTCGTGCAATGTCTCATCTAACACAGATAAAAGATATTTTTTCTAGCCAGGGAAGCAGAATGCCAAATAGAAAGAAAACTAGAGAGAATTTCTCTTTATCTCCTTTGAGTGCTGGGCTTTTGATGTAAAGCACCTGCTCCTTTTAAATGACTGCTTCTTTGTAGGATCTTGCTTAACAGGCCACGATGTGGCACAGGCAAAGCTGACACAAGAGACAAACACTGAGGCAAAACACCATGGAGTCCAACAGAGTGGGACACAGTGGCTGCTCAAATCGTCACAGTCATGCAGAAAAACAAGAAACATCCATATAACACAACAAACAACAGGCAAAAGAAAAGGTTGATATCATCAGCAGGAAAGCATTCTCAACAGAGCAAGCAAAACTGTATAGACCAGCTACATAGAGGTTTGAGAATGTCACTATAACTATTTTGTCCTCTATGAGACTGACACACGCAAACACTGGAGGGGAGAAGGGTGGGAGCTACATCTTCTCCTGGCAGAAAGACTGGCTGCTTTCTGACCCCTACCAAACATACTGGTCTATAAAGCGTTCTCAGAGAACATGCATCTCCAGTGGGTCCTACCTGATGATCTGTTGTGCTCCATCAACTGGTTGTCCTTGCCCAGGCAGATGTCCCCTTGTGTGCTATTGCAGGCCATGTTCAAGTCTGTCTTGCAGAAGGTGGGAGAGCTAGCTTGTGGAGCCGGAGGGATGTGCTTCTTCCTCTTCCTCGGCAGTTTCTGCTTTGCCATGGCCAGGGAGTAGTACATCCCAAAGTTGTTAACAATCACAGGCACAGGCATGGCTATGGTGAGCACCCCTGCTAACGCACACAGGGCTCCCACCAGCATACCTGACCAAGTCCGTGGATACATGTCCCCGTATCCCAGGGTGGTCATGGTGACTACAGCCCACCAGAAGCCAATAGGGATATTTTTGAACTGCGTGTGCTCGCTTGCTGATGGATCATTGGGCTGAGCTCCCACACGCTCTGCGTAGTAGATCATGGTGGCAAATATCAAAACACCGAGTGCCAAGAATATTATCAGCAGCAAAAATTCATTGGTGCTGGCTCTCAGAGTGTGGCCCAGCACCCTGAGGCCCACAAAGTGCCGTGTGAGCTTGAAGATTCGCAGGATCCTCACAAACCTTACTACCCTGAGGAAACCAAGTACATCCTTAGCAGCTTTGGAGGAGAGCCCGCTCAGGCCCACTTCTAAGTAAAAGGGCAGGATGGCCACAAAGTCGATGATGTTCAAGAGGTTTTTGATAAATTCAAGTTTGTTGGGGGAAAAAATAACACGCACTAAAAATTCAAATGTAAACCATACTACGCAGACTCCTTCCACATACGTTAGGGCTGGATCTGTCTCAATTTCATACTGTGGTACAGTTTCTGTTCCATTGACAACATGCTCAGTTTTATTTATAATAGTATTGAAAGCCTCATGCGTTTCCAGGCAAAAGGTTGTGATTGAAACTAGGATGAAGAATAAGGAGGCAAAGGCGATGAACTGAAATAAGAAAAGGGAAAAAGAGATATCAAAACCACACAGCTTTTCACAACAATAACATATCGTATCACAATAATCACATATCAGTGCTCATTATCGATATTTTACTGGTTCATGCCCAAGTGATTCACAACTTCAAGAATACAAAACTTTGCATCCAGGACAGAGGAGTGGCAGACAGCTCTCACACATACCTTAGGAGTCTGGCTGCAAGAGAAGTCTTTGTGATGGACACTATAATAACATGGTGCAACTCTTCCAAAAAGGGGTTAAAAAAAAAATCTCAAATCCATGCTAAGCCTATCAAGGCCTCTTATCAACAGCCCACATACATGCCAGCTGCAGCAGTATTTAAAGCTGTTGAAGAAGAGGGGAAAACTGGGCTGACTCTACCTGTTTTGAGATTATGGTTCAGGAGTTCCTATCTAGTCTGACAAACACAAGAATGTCTTAGGAACATGTTCCAAAGGTAGGCTTCTTTTGGATTTCAACCATCCACAACCACAGGTTGTCACAGAATTGTAGATTCATGGAATCATAGAATACCGCGAGTTGGAAGGGACCCACAAGGACCACTGAGTCCAACTCCTGGCTCCACACAGCACCACCCAAAATCAAACCCTGTATCTGAAAGCACTGTTCAAATGCACCCTGAACTCCAGAACTTGGAGCCGTGCCCACTGCCCTGTGCAGCCCGTTCCATGCCCACCGTCCTCTGGTGCAGACCCTGTCCCCAGCCCAGCTGCCCTCCCCTGACAGCTCCACGCCGTTCCCTGTCGCTGTCACACAGAGCAGAGCTCAGCGCTGCCCTCCGCTCCCTGCAAGGAGCTGCAGCCGCCATCAGGCCTCCCCTCAGCTCCTCTGCTCTGCACTGGGCACATCCAGGGACCTCAGCTGCTCCTCATACGTCTTGCCCTCCAGACCCTTCACTCTCCTTTGGACACTCAAATAATTTTATGTCCTTCCGATATTGTGGCACACAAACTGCTCGAGATGAGGCCACACAGCTCAGAGGCCCTCACTCAGCTGGCAGCGCCGGCCCTGGTGCACCCTAGAGTACAGTTGTCTGTTTGGCTGCAGAGTACACTGCTGGATCATGTTCAACTTGATATCAACCAGAACCTCCACATCCCTTTCTGCAGGGCTGCTCTCCAGCCTCTCATCCCCAAGTCTGTACTTAGATACAGAGTTGCCTAATCCCAGTGCAGCACTTAGGCTTATTAAATTTCATGAGGTTGACAACTCAGCACTCTAATTTGTTATCATTTCTGAAATCAAATTTAGAAGAATACATATTTTATCCATTTTCAGGAATACACACAACCATTTAATGGGAAACATCTGGTTACATTCAGGAACGTTCGAAGTCTCAGAATTTGGGCACAGGCTTGAGCATTACAGTTTATTGTATCTATACAGAAAGTCTGAAAAATCCAAAATGCAAAATGCAGCGTGTTAAACATCCTTCCAGCCCTCTACTGATATGTATTTATTATCTTGCTTCTCTGAGGAAGGAAAGACACCTATTAATTTATGTAAGCTATTAAGACTAAAGACCTAGTTAAGTACTTGGGGATCACCCAGCAGTAAAATGATCCTTGTAATGTAGACAAGCAAGTAGATCAGAAGAGCTGGCTGACACTTGTGTCGACACATCAGATTCTCATACTAAGATCTCGAGCAGCAGCCCTGAACTGTGTCTTGTTCCATTCATTCAAAAGGCACTTAGCAGTATTTAATGGGGAGTGCAGCATACACAACACTTTCAGACAAAAGCAGTCTCTCTCACTGTCATGGCAGTGCCTTATCAGTGCTTGATCTAACTCCTGTTATCAAAATTGCAAATCCAGAATAAGCTGAACAAATAAGGAAGCAGAAATTCAGTTCTGGTAGTGGCACATAAACATAAAATGCAGTTATATAATGCAAATTGTTAAGGACTTAAAAAATGTATGGCTGACGTTCAACTCTGTTATCACAGTCAAGTCATCCAGTCATTGAAGCAAACGGAACTTCCAGCACAGGATCTCACAGAAAAACAGCTGGAAGGTGAGATAAACTTAGTTACACCTAGTAAAATGCACTGAATAGAAATGTGTTTCCTGGGCAGTTGCTCCACTGCTACAAAGGCTATCTTCTTTCTAATGTCAGCTCTTTACCACCATGTTACTGCTCCACAAGTACGTATGGTACTTGAATAAGCACTGTATTTAAATGCTTCTTCTCTGAATCACTGTTTACAACACGCTGCGAACATGTGTGTTATTCTGTATTTTCCAATTGACATGTTTTATGTCCAGCATTATTGCTTGGGGGAAAAAACACCATACTGAAGACCTGAATATTTTCAAAAGTGGTAAGGACCCAAAGAGACAAAATGATGCCTAAACAGGTTTAAAAACACATCCCACCCTCTGAGCTTCCTTACAAATCTAGCATCCTGAAAGTGTACCATCATGTGATATCAGGAAAGCAACACAACAAAATGATATGTTACCACACATTACAATTCAATCTCAAATCCTATTTGAAATATATATATATATATATAAAATAGTGGAGACAGAAATGCAGCCATAAGCAAATATGTCTCCATTCTGTCTCTTTAATCCTGAATGCAATACTGTGGTAAAACTGATTTTGTGTACTTCAGGTATCAATCACTGAATGTAGTATTAGCCCACAGATTTACCAGTGTGCACTGAACGAATTCCTTCGGGCTGGTCTAATATTGAGTGGCTCCATTTTCCTAACACACAATGTTAGTTAGACAACAGTTAGACAACAGAATGCTGTCTCTACAGCTGCTAGACAGAACTGCTTTGATTCTAGAAGACAAGTTTAAATTTGCAATGCAGGTCTGGTTAAGCGTATTATATTCAGAGTGACAAGATATATCTATCCAAAACTCACATACTTAATACATCTATAACAGAGACTAGCAGCTTGGTTATGGCTTACCTTCCTCAATCAATGAAACAAAGTGATTATACCGAGCCTCTCAATTACAAACACTCTAAATCTGTTCTCTCTCAAAAAGGACCGACTCAGGGACTGAAATGACCACTTATCATCCAGTCTGAGCTTCTAGGCACATGCTAGGCAAGCAATCTTATACTGTCTGGCCAGTTTTTACCAGTGACGTTTTTCTGCTCAAACTACAAAATTTCTACACGTTCATAGCGCATTTCTTCCTCACCTTATACCAAGGCACCAGCACACTAGCACACACACCAACTCACATCTCCACACCCATACATTTCTGTGAAACAGCTAGAGTCAGCAAATACAACCAGATTTATATAGCCTAAATGAATTAATCTCAGCAGATCTCTGCAAAGCCTCTCCTTAACAGCGACAGAAAATTTATCAGACTCTAAGCCAGTGGTTAAGAATGACCCTTGGGATGCTACTTCAGGATCCTCCAGCATTTTTCTGCACAGCAACAGGATACAAAGCAAACAAATGTGTGGAATTTGAGTATCACTTAAGTTATGTCAGTGCTGTAGTTTGTAATTTGAGTGGGGAGTTTTAATAGATAAAATACTGGGCAACCTCTTTCAGCGGCAACACTTTGGTGACTGCAGGCAGCTATGAATGCTTTTCGTATGGAAAGAACAGAAAATTACAATCAGGCTAACCAAATTCAAATTTACCAAGAACTTGGTTATAATAAGGATTAAATGTGCATTCAGCAAGACCCTACATCTAGAAGCAGGTAAATAATTAACATCTATCTTGGGGCTGCATTTCAGAAAAAGACTTCACTGTGGTTCAGATCTTTCTAAAAATGCCAAACAGCAAGGAATCAACTACAGGTAGAAGAACTACCTGACAAGCTGTTTGTTACTGTTTCGCACAACATTGACACTGTGAGAGGCCACAGTACACCTGGCACTTGGTAAAGCAGCTGGGAATTTTTAACTGTAAAATTATATTCAATGGTGCTTTGTTAGCCCTGAAGGAAAAAGACTTTCAACAATTTCCAAAATCAGTCGAGTAATCCATTCTCTTATCCTAGAGGAGATCATAAGTGATTGTAAAGAAAGGCAAGAAAACACTATTATATGTGTTACATAATGTAAGATTCTTTGATAATGCCACAATTTCATAACAATGTAAATAAGATGTATACATCTGGCTGTGCACATAATCACAGAATCACAGAATCACAGAATCACCCGGGTTGGAAGGGACCTCAAGGATCATGTAGTTCCAACCCCCCTGCCTAGCAGGGCCACCAAACGTACACATTCAGATCAGGTTGCCCAGGACCCCATCCAACCTGGCCTTGAACACGTCCAAGGACGGGGCATCCACAACCTCCCTGGGCAGCCCGTTCCAGGGCCTAACCACTCTCCTTGTAAAGAACTTCCCCCTAACATCCAACCTAAATCTTTCCTCCTTCAACTTGGATCCATTTCCCCTAGTCCTGCTGTTGTCAGCCCTTCTGAAGAGTTTACTCCCCTCCTGGGTGTAGGTTCCCTTCAGGTATTGATAGGCTGCAATGAGGTCACCCCGCAGCCTTCTCTTCTCCAGGCTGAACAAGCCCAGCTCCCTCAGCCTGTCCTCATAGGGGAGGTGCTCCAGCCCCCTGATCATCTTAGTCGCCCTCCTCTGGACCCTTTCCAAGATCTCTATGTCTTTCTTGTACTGAGGGCTCCACACCTGGACACAGTACTCCAGGTGGGGCCTCACAAGAGCCGAGTAGAGAGGGACAATCACCTCCCTGTCCCTGCTGACCACCCCTCTCCTGATGGAGCCCAGGATCCCATTTGCCTTTCGAGCTGCCAGAGCGCACTGCTGGCTCATGTTCAGTCTCTCGTCCATCAGGACCCCGAGGTCCTTCTCTGCCGAGCTGCTCTCAAGGACCACTCCTCCCAGCCTGTACGGGTGCCTGGGGTTCTTCCGGCCCAAATGCAAAACCTTGCACTTTGCCGTGTTGAACCTCATTAGGTTCACCCGAGCCCATAAGAGCATATACACCTCATTTTGAGCAA